CTGCTGGTTCGGGTTCCTGAGGCCTCTGTGAGTCACTATGTTTCAAGCAATTGATCCTCCAGGCCTCAGGCAGAAGCGACCCCCTTCCTAATCTGCAAAGCCAGTTGCAACTGTCCAACTCCCTGCTCTTGGGGGAAGTTTTTTTCTTATTCTTCCCTATTCATTCTCCTCCCCCCTTCAGATACTGACTGGCAAGTCGGCTTTCTGGGTGCAGGTCACCAAACAGTCTGAGCTGCCAAAGAGCCATGGGGCAGAATGGAGGGCTGAGAGCCTGTGCACGATCCTGAGCTGGCCCCTTCCCAGACGGCACTCAAACTGGTTTCCTTGGGCCACCGTTGCTCTTCTCAAGTCCCTTTCTCTCCCCAAAGCCACACACTCTTTGGGAGGGGAAAGAAGGGAAAAGGGCATGTGCAGTGCCAGTCCTTATAATATAGCATGGAGGTCAAGAGCCTAGGTTCAAGTCTACCACTCCCTGGCTATGGCTCTTGGGAAATTACCTAACCCTCTGTGCCTTAGTTTCTCCATCTGAAAACTGGGAACACTTGTACCAAACTCACAGAGCTGTGGTGAGGATTAACTGAGTTAATAAATATAACATGGTTAGAACCATGACAGTATGTACTATGTAAGAATTTGCTATTATTTCTGTGTGAGGTCATTAAATTTTCACAGACCTAATTATCTGTATCAAGTAGGTATTAGTGGCATTCTCTATTTACAGGGGAGGCTATACCAACACCATATTTAGACTGGAAAACTTAGAAAAAAATACATAATTGGATTGTTTCTGATTCTATAATTACACAAAGCAGAATGGTCTAACTTTGCAGCTACAAGAAACAAGTATTTCAGGGACACGATTTCTATTGTTCCCCACCTAATCCATATATTCATCAGGTGTGTACACTGAGCACTAGCTGAGATGCTGGCAAACGGGAATCCCTCTAGGCAAAGATGGTCTCTGGCCTTAGCCTCCTGTAGTTGCTTGGTATTCTCTGGGAGTAGATCCCCTCCCCCACATCCCAGCAGTTTAAATGCTCAGAAACTTCCAGTTCTCAACCCATGAGCCCCCCAAGAAAAACAGGAAGGACCTGACAACCACTTATTATACTCATGCTGCCCGGGTTAGAAGTTAGGGAAATAGCCCTCACACTTGTTTTGCATCCCTCAGAGCCTGAAACATATTTGACTTGGTGACCATCAACTATGCATTGATTTCACATAAAAATTCAGATTTCTGCCTTCTCTTGAAAAAGCAGAGCTGCTAATACATGCCTGCTTTCCACATGACAGTAATGGGCTGGAGCTGAATAACAGCTACTCACTTTCGACAGGGGACGGGCCTCTCCAGTTTGCCACAGTCCTCACCACTCCCTATTGCATCTCTCAGATTACAGCCAACAGTTAGCTGCCATTTATAATTATGCTTGCTGCTGCTACTGTTTTCTAATGACTACCCGCTTCACTCACATTGCTTACTTGGTTCCTATAGACATTTAGATTTGTGACTCCTGCTAATCTAGGGGTTTCCATCATGTTTGCATTTTAAGTATCCTATTAATACTTGTGGCATGGAAGGTTCTTTTCCCCTATTAAAGGAATTTTAGCCACCAATAAACTGGTTAAAATGTTGGCTCTTTGAAGGTTTTGAAGTTGATTGCTATGTATGGAGTGTTCTAGGGAGTTAGGGTAAGGAAGGTCGCCTGCCTTCTCTATCCTCCAGCTCTGAAAAGGCGCTCAAAGCTCCGGAAGACCATAATGAAGGATCTTTAAGGTGGGATGGACAGAAAGATAAACGCTGGTATCCCCTTCCCCAGCTCCTCCCTGGACAGGAGCCCCTGCCTGGCCCAGGAACCTCTGCAGACCAGGCTGCTCACTGAGGCTCCTCCTTTATCTTCTCCCCTGACCAGTCTCCTCATCTTAGCTCAGCTCCTACTCCCTGAACCTCAACCTCAAGCCTTCCAGATACTGATTTTCAAATTGATGGCACACTGGACCTTATTTTCCTACAATGCATAAGTATTTTTAGCTGACATCTTGGAATACACCTCTTGTCTTCTTTATGAGTTATACTCTGTTTATGAATATTCTGACCAACAACAAAGAAAGTCACTAGAATGCATGTTCTCCATCAGCAGAGGCATATTGTATGCTCTGAGCCCAGGAGGAGGATTAAAGAACTCCCAAGCTCACTGCTCTACCTATTATGTGGGGCTAAGAAAAACTATATGACTCATAAATGACAACTTCCTTTTGGAATCCTGAAACCGTGTAAGTTCATCCTGATTGAAAGCTCAGCCCTGTGAGAGTCTGGAGGTCGGAGTTCCAGCAGGTCAGATCCGTTGCCACAGTAGCTCCACAACCTTTAAAAATAGATCACCTTTGAAAGCTCAGTAGATTTCCCTGTAAGCCCAGCACAAACTCTCTGGGGCTCTGATAGCTATGTTTGGATGAAGATTTGCTGTATTTGAGAGTAAAAGATTAGAGGAAGGCTGAAAAAAGATAGAAACCAAAGGACTCTGGACTCTAGTGAAGCTAACAGAGAAGGCTCTCTGAAGGGTCTGTCCCAGCTCCATCCACCTGTTCATCCATCCCAAAGGCAGCTAGCCCACAGACACCGACGCACATGGGACAGGCAGGGAGCAGGCCTCACTGTCCCCCATGGAAGGCTCGCTCTCGCTCTCACCATGGTGCTCAGGCCTCCCAGAAGCGACAGCAGCACAGGCGATGGAGTGTGCGGACACGGCTGCCTCCTCTTGAGAGGGGATTCTGCTCAGGACGATGAGATGCGCCTGTCATCATGGAAAGAAGACACACGTTTGTTTACGTGCTTGGCAGCAGCAGCAGGGAACTAACTATTCTTGGAACAATAAGCAGAAAGCCAAGGAAATTTCTAGCAAGCTAAACAATATGATTTATGTGGAAGCACAATCAACTCTTGGAAGAGCTCGGTTTTAAAAGCACTGTGTAGTTGAGAAAGCACCAAGCCCTGGATGCTGAGTCCAGATAGCTCGATGCTGTGGCCAGGGCTTATTTCTAAGTAAATCATTTAAAAGTCTATGCTCCCATGAGTGCAGTGTCAGCAGAAGAGGGGGGAGGGTTTCCAGGAGGAATGAGATGGATTAAAAAGTGCCTGTGCTGTAGGGGAAGTGGGCAAGCACAGAACCCTACCCACTGGTCAGCCCAGAGAGGGGGACCTACCCCCAGTGTCAGCAGCCTCACCCACAGAAACCCCGACCCCACCCCCATGCCTGGTCTGCCAAGCCCATTTGCCTATAACCTCGGCGAACTGGACCACAGGAGCTGCCCGAACACAGGAAACAGCTCAGTTCCTTGAAAATGAAGCCCATTTAAAAATTCTTTAAGGGGAAAAAACCACCGTATGATCCTATGAACATAAAATAAAAATAATCCTTTCAAATAAAATACAAACTACATCCCTTCAAATAAAAAGATATTAAGCAAACAAACAAGTAAATAATCCCATGGATTAGTCATAGCTCCTGGAGGCTGAAAGAATCAGGGTGCTTTGGGCAGTGTGCACCAGGGCAGGAGGAATGTCAGCATTCATGACATGGTAGAAACAGCAAATCTGAAGGCAGAGCATCAAGGTCAGAATCTTATCTCCATCCTTTATTAGCTGTGAGGTACCTTGGGCAAATCACCCACTCAGCAACCTCAGTTTTTTCATCTATAAAATGAGGATGATAAAAATTGTCAAAAATATTTAAATCGATATCGCAAATGAAAAAGAAATGAAAAGTAACAGCCTAAATTTTAGACTAGATAAAGCCATACCACTAGAACCTTCTAGTCCAGACCAAGCAGCGAGACAGCAAAGCCATAGAGACTTGCTCCTCTGATGACCAGCTTAATGCGTTTCTGAGATGATAAACAGGGTAGACTCTAAACTGTCCCCTCATTTGTCATATGTTAAAATCCACTAGTTACTAGATCTAGACTTTTTATGATAGGGGCTACTCCAAATCAAGATTGCTGGTAATAACTTTTATTGCTGCGTTAGAACAATCAGAATTTCATATTTGTAAATGCTAACAATATCCTTTGTTTTAAAATGACTTTTCTTATTACAGCAATGGTCCCCAACATTTTTAACACCAGGGACTGGTTTCGTGGAAGACAATTTTTCCACGGACCAGGGGTGGGGTGGGGCGTGGTTCAGGTGGTAATGCCAGCGCTGGGGAGGTGGCAAATGAATCTTCCCTTGCTTGCAGCTCACCTCCTGCTGTGCGGCCCCGTTCCTAACAGGCCCCAGACTGGTACCGGTCTGCGCCCCGGGGGTTGGGGACCTCTGTATTACAGGATATAGATAAATTGAATACTTGATTTTGGCAAACCCCAAATTGGTCATTATCCTCGATTTGGCCTGAAGTTCTGACTGGAAATGCTTTTCAAATAGGACACAGGGTTAGAGTGAAAGGATCAAATGTTCTGTGCTCAGGGAAAGGAAAAAAGAGAGGAAAAGCTTGCCCCACCCCAAATGCAAATGGATCATGTTTACTTTGTCTTTTCCCTGGGTTAACTATCTCTAGAATCCACTTTTGAAGAGAGCACCCTCTAATGCCAGAAGAGATTTAACTCATCTTGTTACAAAGACATTTTACACACAGTATTTTAGATTGATTAAAACTCAAATTCAAAATCAAAAAGATTTCGTATGTTGTTTCCACTTAATATTATAATTCGAGGCAACGTAAAAGATGCATTCTATCAAAATTACTTTCAAATGAATCATTAACATGTTCTGAGAGTTCTCTAAGTTGCCTTTTGTCTTGGAAACAGGAAGCAAAGTTTTCCATGAGCAAAAATGTTCATATTATCAAGAAAGTGGATCCTGAAATCTTATGGGGATCTGAACATATCACAAAATCTTCAATGTTTTGCTGTATGAGATGCTAATATAAGCAAACATTAATATTCATTATTCACTTCAGAAACTCAGTCTCTGATCTAATTTGTTATTTGATGTTCTCAAAGCTTCTAAAAACCATATGCGGGAGTGGGGGGTGAGGGTAGTGGAGAAGGGAACCCATGATGTTTAAAATGTGCAATCTCATTTATTCAGAAAAATTCAATTCAGTTTAATTTAATTCAGTCCTATTCAATTCAACTTATCTTAATTTTTAAATGCTTTCTACATGCCAAATATTATTCAAACCCTAGGAATTCACATAAAGATTAAGCAGGGCTTTTGGTTTTAAAGGAGCTTACAGATGAACTACAAAAATGTGGGGTAGTTTGATTTTACCTAAACTCACAGACACTGCCCCTCACTAGGTTTTAGCACCCGGCTCACTACTTTCCTCTCCACCCCTCCTCCTGTTATCATTTTCAGTGATTTCAGTATCCCTAAGATTGGTCTGCACCAATTGGGCAAGAAAGAGATGGCACAGTTTAACAGATGAATAGGGGAAAAGAAGTTGTTAAAAGAAAAGAAGTTTGCAGGGAGGAAACCTAAGGAAGAGAGTGCAGGAACCCAAACAGGCTGCTTTAACATCACAGGCAGAGCAAGGGAGGGAGCATTTGCTGGAACTGGAAAGATGAATTATAGGGGAGGGAGCTGTAGCTTTCAGTGAATGGATGCAGACCACCTGCACTGACCTTGCTGGGAGGAGCTGAGGGAATAAATAAGCTGTGCTCTCTCCTTCCAAGGTCAAGGCTGTGTGCCTCCCAGCCAGAGGGCAAGGCGGCCCACTAACACTGTACTTAAATGGGCACAGTGAGGGATGCAGAGTGGAGCTAAAAGAGGAAACTAAAACACCCAGTGAATGACCCAGCTAACACCTTGGCCTCTTGGGTTTTGACAGGCTTATTTTCCTCCCTACCCTCAGCCACCTGGTCCCCCATGATTCTCTGGGCCTCATCATCACTTAATCTGTGCTACCTCTGGATCCCGCAGCTCACAGACCCTGTTTGACTGTTGGGGCGTCCTGGTTCTATCACATCCATGCAGCTTCTCATCCTCTGTCCACTCTCCACATCTCACTAGTTATCCACCCCTCCTGCTGTCCCTTCCCTTCTGGTCCAGCTGAGAGGGCACCACCCATCAGTGTCTATACGGAAAATGCCCTCAACTCCACTGAAGCATTATTTGAGATGGTGAAAAATGGGGAACCAACTAAACATCCATCAGCAGGGGAACGAATATATTGTGGTTTATTCATACAATGATTGAACTCTATCTATATGTATTAACATTTCAAAAACACACCACTGAGTGGAAAAGCAACTTATGAAAGGATGCAAACATCATGATGCCACTGCTTTTCAAGTTTCTGATTTTAAAGCAAAAGAACCCCTTTTATACCAAACAGAATGGTTCTCTAACATACAAAGCAGGTATGTGTGGAGCTGCTCTCACTGAAACAGGTAGAGAGAGCCTGGGAAGCCCACCCAGTTGCTTCCATCCAGCCACCCCCAAAAGACCCTCCTTGGAACATGAGTGTTGGCAGTGACACAGTTTGACAACTACAGTACCACACCATGCAGGAGGCCTCCTGAGAGAGTGAGTACTGAGGAAGTTGACAAAGCTAGTGATTAGATTACCCAATCTTTCCAAACTAAACCACTGTTCACAATTCTGGAACAACACTTTGTTTGCTAAGATAATATAAATATCCCTGTTACATACATCTGAGAGCATTTAAGGACTAGTTGTTAGGGTGAACAGAATTACAGGAGTCCTGCTTACCTCTCCGGCTTTATACAGAGGCCCGAGTACTAGGCCCCGCTGGGGATCTGCAGCTTGACTACGCTCACTCCTCGTTATTTTTAATCACCCCAGGCTTGCATCTCTCCTCCCATCCTTTGAAGTTCCTGATATCTTATGGTTATATGTTTATCAACTGTCATCTTGAGGCTGAGGAGGAATGTTTAATATTCTTAAATCTCTTCAGCTGCTAGCATGTCGTACTGGGTTAAAAACCAAAACACCTTTAATATCCCACATGGAGTAAGGTCATTAATTGAAAAAAACTCATTCACAAGACCAACTGCCTCAAGCCCTGGCAAGGTACAGAGCAGCTGTTGCATTCTGGTCCTCTTATGTGTTTCTGGGGGAAACCAAGGATTCCTCAGTGCCAACCCAGCTGTCAATAGACACAGCCAGAGCCAGGGCTGGCAGACTCATCTCACTGGGCCTGTCCCCTTGGATTTGTAAAATGTGTAACAGTTCTTGAAGAGAAAACTTGATGACTACTAAAAAGGATGTTTTTATTTATGCAGGCAGACCCCACCATATGAACACTCAACTTAAAACACTGGGTGGGTTCTGAGTGTGGAACTCCGGCTCTTGTGGGGAGGGAGAGAGAGATTTTTTTTCCACTTTGATAATGATTAGGGGAATCAGTGACTCAGAGGGAAATCTCTCCCATAGCAAAGTGAAGAGCACACAAGTAGCTCAAAGTACATTTGTGGACTTAAACTGGGTCTATTTACCCTGGAGATGAGAACACTCAAAGAGAAGACAATAGTAATTGCCAGGATCTCTTTGTAAAGCTGAGGGCTAGGATAGGGAGGGACCGAGGGAAGGAGGGAAATAACATCGATATACACCAGCTCCGCTTAATCTCAAAATGACCAGTGAGAGTGATGTTAACTGCCTAATTTACGGATGGCGAAATGAAGCCTCGAGGAGAGTAATTGACTGTCTGAAGGTCACATAGTTTTGGTCAATGGCAGAACAGGGATTCAAACTAAGGCGTGTAATTTCAAATTGCATGCTTTTCTCATCTAACACCTGGTTATCAAGAGGGTAGAAGTCACAGAAAGG